TCCCTACTTTTCTACATTTTAAGATGCTAGAACGGAACAGCAAAATATGACATTGAGTGTAATGAAAGAGTTTGCAAACCTGTTCTGAATCAGTGTTTTACTGCTGTGCTCCTTCCACTGTCACCCTCACCCTTCCCACCTCAGCATATGAGGCAGCAAAACCCACATCCCACATTTTAACGATTCTCTGGCAAATCCTCAAATTAAAAGCAAGGTGTAGCAAGGCGTTACCTGGTCAGCAGCAAGATTCATTGCAACACTTATTATTTCAGCACTGCTAAACATATCTGTACAAGAATCGTATCATAGGACCACAGGAACAGTTTGGGTTGGAAGGGAACTTAAAATTCATCCAGTTCCAACCCCCCGCCATGGGCAGGCACACCTTCCACTAGACCAGGTTGCTCCAAGCCCTGTCCAAGCTGGCTTTGAACACTGCCAGGGATGGGGCAGCCACAGCTTCTCTGGGCAACCTGTGCCAGGGCCTCACCACCCTCACAGGGAACAACTTCTTCCTGAGAAGTCTCCCCTCTGTCAGTTTAAAGCCATTTCCCCTTGTCCTGTCCCTACAGGCCCTTATCAAAAGCTCCTCTACAGATTTCTTGCTGGCACCTTTAGGCACTGGAAGCTGCTCTAAGGTCTCCCGGAGCTTTCTCTTCTCCAGGCTGAGCAAGCCCAGCTCTCTCAGCCTGTCTCCATAGCAGAGGTGCTCCGGCCTTCGGAGCATCTTCGTGGCCTCCTCTGAACTCATTCCAACAATCAAATGTATGTTTAAAAAACCACCCCAAAACAACACTGGTCTATCACCAGGAGTATTCCCTGGGAAGGGAGCAACAGATAAAAATTGCAATAGGCCTCTTTGGCAATAGAGCTGTTGGAGTCTTCAAACACAGTTTCCAGCTCGGAAAACTCCTTGGTTTGTTAAAGCATGAGAACCCATGGCTCAGCCTTGCTTCCTGGGAGGAGGGAGCTGCAGAACCAGCACAGGTAGCTCCTGCTGGGGAAATAATCACTAAAAAGATAACCCAGAGCAGAGCAAAACCTGCTGTATCAGCAAGCAATGTCTCATGACCAAAGAGAAATTGCTATAGACACGCTAGAAACAATAGTGCTTTCTGTGTCTGACCACTGGCTGAGGCAAAAACAACATTGGTTTTGAGAAGCACAGAAGCAGAAGTCATGTGAAGAACTGCTGTGCTTGAGGACAGGGCCTCATGACATCCAGCAGTACTCAGCAAGGTCAGACTTGGTATTTGTTACATTCATTAAAAAGAAAAAGGAAAAAAAGCTTAAAAACTTCTTTTTCAGCTTTGCCCTTTATCACATAGAACAGAAACAACAAACCTCAAAAAAGATAGAGATTATCTTTTGAAAAACAGCACAGAAAGCTTTCCTTTCAGCCACCATAAAGGGAATATTGCTTTGCAGCCAAGCGATAGCAACCAACAGGGATGCCAAAAGGAACATCCTGAAAGTTCACCACAGTTCTAAGCCTTCACGAGGCAGGAATAAATCTGTGAGTTTTCCTAGGCAAAATCCACTTATAAATAAACACCTGATGATGGAATGAGCAGAGCATATGTTCACCTCAGGCTGGTGCAGTGAGCTCCAAGGACACATCTACTTACCACGTTCTCTGCATTGCTCTCTTCTTCAACTGCAGACCTGGAAGCACAAGATGGACCAGAAGTGCTTCTGCTTCTCCAGAGAGATGCTTTTCCACCACATGCTGCATCTCTCTCTTTATTTACATAGCTTGTAGAGTCCTCCCTGTTTTCATTTTCCTCCTTCTGAGGCACAGAAATACTTCTCAATGTACCACCTGCCTCAGCAATTTTGTTTCCATCAGCTGAATTGGACTTTGTAGCTGTTGGTGGTCTGGGCTGGTTGTTTTCTTGCAGAGATTTGGGATGAGACAGGGGAGACTTGGTGTCCATAACTGGCTTTTTAGAGTGCGATTTCTTCCCAGCATTGAAGAAAGCTGCTCCCAGCTGGAGTTTCAGGGCTGGTTTAACTGTCATGCTTAGGACTCTGAAGGGTGAATCCATCTTCTTTTTAACTAGGGAATTCACATGCTCCTTCTCCACACTGGATTTTTCTGCTGGTGTCTCTTGCTTTACCTTCTTAAGAGCTTTGGGGACAGTTTTGCCATGCTTGGATTTTGTTGTATGCTTGGGTGGCTTCAAGCTTGTATTCCTGCTCAAGCTCATGTTTATCTTCTCAGTTCTGTTGGCAGCTGGGAGATCTTCATCCCTGTTCCTCTCACCCAAAGGGCGGTGCTCGTTCAGCTCTTTCCTCTCGTAAGGAGTAAGGTAGCGCTTTTCCTTGCTATAAAAAGACACCACAGGCACAAAGAGCTTGTACGAGGAAGCAGTTTTTGGGGATGATTTCCTTGAGGACTCGCTCTGCACAGCTGTGGGAACACTGGCTGCCTGAAGGGGTGAAATATCCAGCCTCCTTGAGAGCACTGGCCTCACCGGGACAGCCTGGTTTTCTTTCATCTCGTCGCTGGACCTAGAGGACCATTGTATTTCAGAAGCAGACAAATTATTTCTTGGTTTCTTGAGTGGAGACAGACCTTCAGAAAAGCCTATCATCTTTTTTTTCACAGGAGTCTCAAAGTCTAAGGAGGAACTGTAAGAATAATGACACAGAAAAACATCACATGTACTATTGAAAGGTTTTCAATTATTGTTTTACTTAAAATAATGCTTAACTTTCACACAGCTGAGTTGCCTGTACTGGTACATGCCCTGTAAGAAATACAAATATCAAAGTACAATATCCAAACATCACAGAACAGTTTGGGTTGGAAGGGACCTTAAAGATCATCTAGTTCCAACCCCCTTCCACTAGAGCAGGTTGCTCCAAGCCCCGTCCAACCTGGCCTTGAACACTGCCAGGGATGGGGCAGCCACAGCTTCTCTGGGCAACCTGTGCCAGCGCCTCAGCACCCTCACAGGGAACAGCTTCTTCCTGAGATCTCATCTCAATCTCCCCTCTGTCAGTTTAAAGCCATTCCCCCTTGTCCTGTCCCTACAGGCTCTTGTCAAAAGCCCCTCTCCAGCTTTCTTGTCAGCCCCTTTAGGCACTGGAAGCTGCTCTAAGGTCTCTGTGGAGCCTTCTCTTCTCCAGGCTGAACAAGCACAGCTCTCTCAGCCTGTCTCCATAGCAGAGGTGCTGCAGCCCTCAGAGAATCTTTGTGGCCTTCTCAGGAGTCACTCCAACAGCTCCACATCCTTCTTATGTTGGGGGCCAACCATATGTTACAACCAGGAATAGCTGGGACTCCCCCCCCCCCCACCGTGGTAGGGGGTGTGGAACTAGATGAGCTTTCAGGTGCCTTCCAACCCAAATGGTTCTGTGATTCTACGTTATTTAACACAGAACACAGCGAGGCTTTTCCTCAGCAAGTATTTACGCCCTACCTCAGTCCTTCCAATTTTGAAATCAAAATCCCCTCTTGGTCTCCCCGGAAATATTTTTTATGAGGGAAGTATAGAATAAGCATGAGATAAAGATTTTCCACTAGAAGAGTTATAAAAGAATGAGAAACAAGCTATTGCTCTGGAATTAACACTCAGCATTTTGCTCCTGGCCAGTGGCTTCTCCTCCACTATATAGGGGGAAAAAATAAAAATCTATAATGTTTTTAGGTATACATAACAAATGCACTATTTTTCTATTAACACCAGAAGACTATTCAGATAATTTGTGCTCTATTTCCATAGCATATCTCAAAGTCTTTCCAAATTGGAAAGACTGAGGCTTCACCCCAAAGAAACGCAAACATGAGGGAGCTTATTTCCTCAGTTTCTAAAAAAACATGAGGGGGCTTATTTCCTCAGTTTTTATGGGATTAACTGCAGGCTACATCTGGGTGCAAGTGTCACAAACAGGTGTATGCATCTGACAGAGGTGACTGTCACAACAAGATACCTTAATTTAATAAAAGAAAGATGTTAATGCCCTAATGAATGTACTGATATGCGTCTGCCAAGTATCAGCTCAGCGTAACAGCTTTTTCTTACTTCTAATTCTGTGCCTGAAGATCATTTTTATCCTACATACTCGATGAAACCTCTCAAGATGCTCAGTAAAACATAAAACATGTTCTTAGTCACCAATTAATAAACAGGAGCTGATGCTAAGTGTGTCTCAGAACAATCTTAATATTTTTTCCACTTTACATGGAAAGCTATCACGGATTTTAAGAATCTGGTTTATTCTACATACAGCAATTAAATGCGTTTTATTAGGAAAACAAATTCTGTGAGAAGTTACCTGTCAGTGCCAGTAGAACTACGGTTCCTCTTCTGTGGGGTACCAGCTGCCATGGCTGCCCCAGAGTACCTACAAGAGCATGGTTTTGATAGCTTGAAATAGATTTCCAGTAAAAACAAATGAAGTTAGTAAAGAAGAGAAGGTGAGGGACTCGGAAGAAAACACTGACGGAAGCAGTTTGGGACTGATGGAAATGAGAACACCACGGGGCTGTTTCAGCTGAGCACAGGTTGTAAAACAAGTGTGCACAGAAGGGATCCTCCAGGTCAAGAACGATTCTGTTACCATGGACCAACGCATCCTAAAGTCCCATCTATAAAACAGAGCCAGGTAATTCATAAATGTGTTTTACTCTCCTCTTGCAAAGCTCATTCCAGACCTCACTGATGCAGTTCCTAGAAACCTGCTTGCTCCTGCCTGTATTCATGGTCAGTTTATTCCCACAAGGATTTCACATTGGCATTCACTTACAAGCGGAGACAGCTTTTTACCCAACAGACTTTTTAGTTTCTCTCCCACTTTCTATCTGGCCGCATTACATAAACCACACTTTTTTTAGCCTTCGTTAACCCAGTAGCCATTTAAACCAGTTTAACACTCGACACAATCTCTTGCCGTTTGAGATAATATCATAGAACATTAACTTTCCTGTTACGTGGTGTTTCATAACCAAAACCCCAGAATAAACAAATGCTTTGTATCTAAGAGGCCTAAGTAATTATTCATGAACTGCTACAACAGCACAAGGAATAATTTATTCAATAATCTACCAGCAGGGGGAAGCGGTCACGCATTGCTGATACGTGGGAAGCAGTGACAGATGACAATCCAGACACAAGCAGCCGTTATCAAACCCAGGAACACCAAGGATAACAGTGGTGAGAGAGAGGATGAAGCCAAGAGCTGCAGCAGGAGATGTACAACCTCAGCACAGTGCAACGGTGGCAGAAGAGAAGTACAAGAGAGAGGAGGCAATGCCCTAGAAGCAGAGAGCAATGGTAACAAGCCTGCAGGTGCCTGAGTAGTAAGATATCATGTGCAGATTAAGAAAAAAGTAAGACAAGGACATGTTGTTGGTGGGAGAGCCAAGGGGAACATGTCAGAGATGCAGTCATACAATGGTTTAGATTAGAAGGGACCTTAAAGCTCATCTAGTTCCAACCCCCTGCCATAGTCAGGGACCCCTTCCACTAGAGCAGGTTGCTCCAAGCCCCGTCCAACCTGGCCTTGAACACTGCCAGGGATGGGGCAGCCACAGCTTCTCTGGGCAACTTGTGCCAGCGCCTCAGCACCCTCACAGGGAACAACTTCTTCCTGAGATCTCATCTCAGTCTTCCCTCTGTCAGTTTAAAGCCATTCCCCCTTGTCCTGTCCCTACAGGCCCTTGTCAAAAGCCCCTCTCCAGCTTTCTTGTCAGCCCCTTTAGGCACTGGAAGCTGCTCTAAGGTCTCCCTGGAGCCTTCTCTTCTAGTGCCGCCCTGGGTCTTCTCCTCCCCCAGGCGGAGCAAGCCGAGCTCTCTCAGCCTGTCTCCATAGCAGAGGTGCTGCAGCCCTCAGAGCATCTTCATGGCCTCCTTTGGACTTGTTCCAACTGCTCCACACCCTTTTTATGTTGGGGGTAGCTTTGTAACTTGCACCATTACCCCGCACATCCCACATATGAGCAGCCGCCCATGGTGGCCTCAGACACCCACCCTTTCCTGAAATGTTCTCAGGCCAGTTCCCAACCGGCCCCTCAGTCCAGTTTTGTATCAGACCACAGACACCCTGCATTGTACTAGGGCACCGGCGCCTCACCCCTGCATCCCCCCAACTCTCCCGTCTACCAGGGCCTCACTAAACCGCCTCAGGACTCCTGGAAAACCCCTCCCCATTCCT